TTTTATGGCTACTTGGTGAAATTAGGGGAGAGGTGTTGGTCTTAAACTCATAGTGGTAGAGGCTTTACGCTATTTAAGCTACAAGTGAGAGAATTGTTTATGGCATGTTGACTTTTTTGTAGTATATTACTCCTTTAGCTTGTCAATAAAAAAGAATCAACTCTGGTAGAAAATATGAACAAGTTCAATATTAAATCGACGGATCCTGTGGAGCGATGGACATCAACAAAGTAAGCTCGTTCTTACTCGAGTGTTCGGTGTATTACTGTTCGGGGGTCATCAACCCCTTCGACCAGGGTGCTGCCTTAGTTAGCAGAAATATTGATGGAAAACCATTTTATAAAAACTTCGATGATTTGTCCTCGAATGTTCCCGTTCCCAGCTGGTTATTAGGCATTGGGAAAAGGAGCAGCACTGAGACGTATGGGTGTGAATGCATGGAGTCAAATCGAAAAACTTGTTAGCGTACCAGCTCCAAAAGCGCACTCCTTCAATTTTTCGGCGGTTTTCGTGGAACGCCTAGCTTTTAGGTTTACGTTTTTTTTAACCGGTTTGTAAGGTGCAAGATTTTATCGATATGCCTAAGCTAAAGAGTGCGTACTGATAAGAATTTCTTGAAAGGATTCCAATTGTCCTGAGCTAGAGAGTTCAAAGCTTGACAATCAGCTACCGCAAATTACCAAGGTTGTTTTAAGAGAAAAACCCTGAGAAATATCATACAAGCTGTCGAAATTTTTCGGTATCGCTTATTTTTTCACAGAGATTTGCCTACGCGTGAGTCTGAATGGTTGCACCGTAACGACCCCGTCTGGGAGTACGGGTTCTATGAACCAGAAGAAAAGAGAATACCAAAAAATAAGTTGATGTTTCGGGAGGCACTTGAGGTAAGTTCTATTCTCAATTCCTGTCTTTCTTTGGAAAACGCAGTTTTGGCCCTAGGTTTTGCGAGCACGACAGGAAATTGAAGATGACAGCGACGGTCCAAATGCTGCGAAAATGAGGTGAGATTAGGAGTTTGTTCTTTACGTGCGTAATGTTTTTTAAGGATTTCTTTGTTTCAGAGAAGAAGCTCGTAAAGTTTATGAAGAACACAAAGCTGTGGCCAGAGTTGATCCAGAGAAACTGGACGAAATGTGGGAGTACTTCCGACCATTTGTGAGAAAAGATACTCAGAAGGTAAGATCTGAAATCAACTGCCGTGTTTTGCCTCTCCTAATATTAGGTTATGAGGACTTCAGCTACATTTTATCGCGGATTTGTTAAACATCTTGATGAGCGATCGCGTGCTCAATGATACCTAATTTTGAACGTACTTCCTTTCGCGATTTGTAGTACATTATATCAGTTAATCAACAGCTCCCAGTGTAATTGAAATACATATAACTTGGGAGATCCACTTCAAACTGGTCAGAGCCGCTCGAATATTTACAGGTTGTGTCCAAACACGATCTAGCTCGATTACAAGAATATTTGCATGGTATGTCTGACGAACAGACAATGCTTCAAGGCACTCAGGAGGGTTTCCGCAAACTTATTCAGCGAAATAAGGAAGCCCTTAAGTACTACGATGGGGTATAGTCTTTGATTTTTCATAGTATCAGCTTCAAAAGAATTCTATACTAATTTCTTATTCTTCAGTTGGATAAAAACGAACAAAAACAACTTGAAGAAGCTGTTGTTGAACAAAGAAGGATGGAAAAAGAACGGCTGGCAGAACGCTTGAAAGGGATTGAATATGTGAGTACATTTAAATTGATGTATGTCAATATAGCTACCATACAGTTTTCTTTTTCCTTACAAAGTCTAGTTATTTCGTTAACGCTTTCATAGCTCTTTTCAATGTTCCCTCTCTGGGTACATGAAAGTTGCTGCTAACGGACTTTCATTCAGATGGAAGAACAGAGCAAGAAGATGGTAGAAGAAGCCAAGAAAAAGGCAGCAGAAGCTAAAAAAGAGAACGAGTGATGCTAAGTACTTGCTCTCGAAATACTGTAGTCTAGGTGATTAGGTAAATGCGGTTGTTTTAATAACTGCTTAGGTTTTCTCATGTTGTTAGGCTTGATAGCACAGCAATTGTTGACTGTTAACGATGTTCAACTCTTCATATACGGGTTTTTATACTATTTATAAATGTTGACATCTGTTTGAGTAAGAAACGACTGTAATGGTCAACTACCTCGAATGTGCTAAATAGTTTTGTGTAAAGTTACAAACACTGTTTGATATGAGGCTAAAACATAGGTGATGTTGTGGATCTATCTATGAATCGTCTACGGGTAGCTATTGGAATATCAGGTGGAGTTGATAGCGCGGTATCAGCATGGCTGTTGAAGAAGAAAGGATTCGACGTCGTTGGCGTTTACATGGTGCATTCGTGATGGTATTTTTGATCAATATTGGTGAATGAGTTCTCGACGAGGCCTCAGATTCATTCCCTTTTGTGTCAGAGTTGAGTTTGCGCTAAAAGCCCAAAAAGAGAAGCATCAATGAAGTGAGCGCAGCGGACGTTAAGAATTGAGACCGTACCGTCTCTGAACCAGATAGAGATGTGTGCGAACATAGTGGTTCTCGTGATGAAGGAGTGAGAGAACTGAGTTTTGGTTCACTCAACCTCATAAGGGGTAACATCTACACATTCTTGTTACAAAGCTGTAAAAGTTGTCGAGTACCCACACGATGGCTTCCGAGATTCAATGATGAAAAGTTGCTAGTTTCTAGGCGATTCCGGAGGTGCTGGCTCCAGTTCGAGATGTAGTCCCCGACTATAAGCGACGCTTAACGGTACTCCTGCCTTCTCCACCTTGTACATGTGGTGGAAAAAGAATACTGTTGTAGCTGCGACAGTACATTGAAAATAAACTAGTAAACTATATGAAGAATTTACCTACGTCGACATGGAAAACTAGTTTTATAGATCAACTGGGATCCAGTAGAGGAAGGATCAGCTGCCTGCTCACGAACGAAGGATGAAACGGATGCTCAATATGTATGCGAAAAGATGCACATTCCATTCAGTACGGTTAATTTCGTCAAAGAGTACTGGAATGATGTTTTTGTGTGAGTAGGTCTAGATGTTTTTGCTAATCAGGGTTCAAATTTAAGCTGACTGTGAAAAGGGGGTCGTCGCTGGGTTGACTAGATAGGGAGTAAGGGGCTAGGTTTGCTAATTCAGTTGGAAGGCAGGTTTCGACTCTCATCTGTTTGAAATTCCTCTTCTCGAACTTTTTCCTGAACTTAACTAGTCCCAGAGGGTGAATGTTCAGGTTCAGACAGAAATTGTGTCCGTAGAACGTGACGACTGCATGGGTGGTCGCGACTCGCTGATTTACTAGTTTATTTGCCTTCAAACCTATAATTGTGTCCTGGCTTGTTCTTACATTATATTCGGATTCAAACTATCACAAGCTAGTTGCATTTTACTGTATTGTACAGTTTGATACGGTATTTCACTTACATCACTTTGTTTCCAGAACTATGCTGGACAACTACCGCCGTGGACGAACTGTTGTTCCCGATATCGCTTGTAACAGTCATATCAAATTCGAACGCCTACATCATCATGCTATAGAAAAACTCGGGGCAAACTTTATTGCAACTGGACACTACGCAAGTACATCCTACGGGGACTTCCAGGAAAATCAGCAACCAGGATCTGGTAGGTAAAAAAATCAAAGGACCGAAACTCTCCAATCAAATTCAGGCACTAATCACTTCAATATCGAAAGTTAAGGTGTAAAACTTCTATGCGGAGCTGACCCGTTGAAAGATCAAACTTACTTCCTGTGCACCTTGAAGCAAGAGCAATTGAAACGGGCCATGTTTCCTGTCGGATCACTAACAAAAACCGAAGTTCGTCGAATAGCGAGAGAACAGGATTTGGATGAAATCGCCGATAAGCCTGAGGTAATCCGTCTGGACACCGAGTTTTGAAAGAATCTTAAATGTGGCAGTTTCAGAGTATGGGCATTTGCTTTGTAGGAAAACGGAAAAAATTTGAAAAGTTCATCGATCAGGTAAGGATTTAATGAAAGTTCTGACTGTTGTGATTGGCATGGTTCGTTTAGTATATCGAGCCATGTCCTGGCGAAATCCTTACCCTAGACGGCAAGCATCTTGGTCATCACCAAGGTGTCCATCATTTCACATTGGGAAAACGAATAGCCATACAAGGATGTCATCTCGGATATTTTGTTGCACGAATTGACGTCAGCAATAGAATTGTTTTTGCGGTGAGGTCGTTTTGGTATCTTCAGCTGTAGATGATGCTCAGACATGAATACGTTGGTTTAGTGTGAAGGCTCCCATCATCCGTCACTCTACGCCACGGAGTTTTGCTTATCAGAGCCTCAATGGATAGATAGGAATCCTCTGGCAGGTAAACTTATTCGTACACTTCGGTAAAGTTATATAAGATTCTTTTTAAAGGCTTCCACAATTGTAACAGGGAATCGAGTGCATGGCGCGTACTGAGAAACTTAAAAGAGCTTGCTTATCTTTTTGCTTTTGCTTTTTTACATCACCATTGTTAGCCTTTTTTATGTGTTTTTGTTTTGTTAGGATCTTGGCATCATATGGCCTTTAAGGGGCTGGTAGTGAAACGTGAGACCGGTTCGTCGCTTAGCGAGCGCTCGCTTGGTTGGCACATATTTAGTCCTTGACTGACAACGGAGCCGATGTATTTTGTCTAATCAATCCCCATTTTGTGTTGCTCAGGAAATTTCACGTATTTTACAATTTGATGCATAAAACCTTCCAGATGCCGAAGAAACGACCCTTGAGTGTCGGATTCAACGTACCCATCAACCTATCAGGTGCCATGTGAAACGAGTTGCACTTAATCTCCTGTCGATCAAGCCGGTGTTCCCTTTGAGAGCTGTAGCTGATGGCCAGGTCAGATTCCTCTTCCAGCAGAGGGCCATATTCAATTTGGACCCCCTTCAGTCTGTTAAATGAGACCTATTCTAGGTATGTGTATTCTACGATGGCCGAGAATGCCTAGGAGGTGGTGAAGTGCAAAACATCGTCTCAACACTTGAATATTAACATCCTAATTTCCGTCAAAATGATTTCTTTGCTCGTTGTACTTAGTTTTATGTTGATTTAGTTGTTATAGAGATTCTAAATAAAGTCTTTTACCAGTTTCGAAGAACAAAAAGGGCAGATCCCATATGGGACGACACCACTTCCACCAACTCAGTTGCGCTACTCATTGGGAATTCACGATCTGTGTCGCACGGCCTCACACTACCAACAAGTAACAATTGAATAGCTAATGTATCGGGTAAGGAGCAGATAACACTTCACACACACACTTCAAGTACTTATAAATAGCTATGTACCAGTAACGCTATGGCTATATCTACCGATACACTTAGTAATGCAAGTACAACGATTATTGTTATACGTTGCTATTTGCTCATATTTTTCTTAAAGTATTGTCGTTGCTTGTGAGAACCCTGAGAATACCAGTTTCTGATGATTTTGTTCACGATACTATCGAATATTCCAAATTTTGGGGTCGAAAGACTTTGTGAAGCTTTTTCTTCGTTTACAAACCATAAAGGAAAAACTGTCTATAGGAAATACCGTGGAAGTTGAAAAAATAGCAACTACGAATATCAATCAACTGAAAACCTCGATAATTTACGATTGAATGAACTTCCTCCCTTAAGCAGGAAGTTAATTGTAAAGAAAAGGAAGACAAGATAAAGTCGAGAAATTCGATAGCCAAGACTGTTGCCCGGTATTGCATTCAATGATAACATTCCATTGATATGAATAATCACGAGGATGGTTTAGAGCAGTAGCAGAGCGTAAAAGAACATTGGCCGAAATGTTACTTTGTCTAGGCGCGGAAATCGCGCTCCAATCCAACTACCTAATCGGGCGGGGCGTTTTTGAATTCAAACAGCCCGAGACGATTTGAATTTCCTTTTGGGGTCTGCCGATCTCGTTCACCTTGACTCCCTCCCTTATCGGCAGTGGGTTGTTTACTCACTGTGGCTTTCCTGTTTCATTTATCACAAGCTTTCTTGGGTTTTAGTCCTGTCTTACGTAGCGGTGGTGTACGCCGCATACATACGTTTCTTTGACAACTGTGAGACTTCTACCTGTGAAACTTCAAATTAGTTTTGTCAAATGAAGTTTTGATTTGTACGTTTTCTCTTGTTGATGTTGTTGTGATCATTTTAATTCCTCTTCATTGTTTTTTGATAAGCTCCTCCTCGGAGGCTACGAAATGGCATGTGTTGGAACGATCAACATGTTCTAGGGTATTCTGTTCGAATGCCCTTCACAAAGTAACTAGGTGTGACGATTCTTGAAAATCGCCGTGGGAAGTGTACTTAACATCCCGAAGACAAGGATCACGTAAAAAGAGTTTTTCATCCTTGTCAGAATTGTTTTAGCACTCACTTGGGTGAGGTTTAAATAATAAAATTCCACTGTTGCAAACGAGTTTGGGGACTGTTCGTGAAGTTATATGTAGTGAAGAGAAATTATTCTCGAAGGGCTCAAAGAGGACTGTTTTATACCTCGGTCATGACTCGATAATCATTCTGGAAAGGGCAAAAACCAATTCTTTTGCAAGATGAAGTTGTAATTGTGAATTTTTGATATTTGTCTACGATTTCCTACATCCATTCGATGAGTTGCAACGTTCGTGCGCTTCAAAAAGATTTCTTCGTTGCATTTACTAGAAATTGTGTACCTGGTGCAACTTTTTTTTTCAAAAAGCGTCATATCTTGGATTTGAAAATTTCAGAAAATGAGCACTAACTCTACTGATGATCACAAATTTGTCTCACCCGTCTCTAGGAATGCTGAAACGGCTGGCGACAAGGAGAAGTCCGAAAACGAAAGTGCAGAGTCGAAAGTGAGAGCTAAAAAGTGATGGCCAAAAGCTTTCATTTTTACCATCACTACTACGAGTAAAGCAGTGTTTTCAGGCAGTAGCTGCAGCTAAAAAAGAAACTCCTGTGGCCGTTCGCACACGCCGGCACTTTCAGAACGAACTTCACATGAGCTCGCCATCTGATGCCCAGCTGTCGCCATGCACGGTGAAACTGTTCGGAAAAGGGGGAAGAAAGGTTAGCTTGACTTCTAAGATTCCGTGACTTCCTTCTCGATGACGTCGTATTTCTCAGTGCTCTCACGCACTTTTTTTTCGAGTAAGGGAGTGATGCAGTGAAAAGCGAATGACAAAGCAGTTGTTCATCGAACTGGGTGATAAGATGACAGGGATTTCACTATTTGCTTAAAAAAACAATTTTATTGGAGATGATGCACTTAGGGCAACTCATTTCATTGAGTCCTTGGACATGGCCCGACAAGCGCAAGCTGGGTACCAGCTGATGTGAATTTCAAGTGAGACGATCCTCAATCATCTGACTCTTCAAATCGAAATTCTGCCATCTCTTGTCCTGCTTCCTTCCTTATCATTTCCTCCTTCCCATTGGCAAGATGTATTATAAAGGTATTTCCACTAGTAAAACACTTTTTCTTCAGATGACGAGTGGACCAACAGCGATTCTCAGAAGCAAGCAGCACAGTGCAATACCCTTTAACATGAATGACTAAATCAACTTCGTCATCCAAGTGTCAAATGTAAAAAGAGCCTGTTCATAAATGAAATATTAATCACACATGCTATTGTATCATTGTAAAAGGTCATTATGTTGTCATAGTCCATTCTGTATTTATCCATCTTCATTAACTATTCGCGTCTTTTTACCTTGGTGATGGTAAATTTGTAGTTTTTATTTTGGTAAGGAATAAAAAGCTTACCTGTTGCGGAGTCTACACAGAAGACCAAGGGAATTGCCCATATACACTAAATTATCGGTTTTATGCCCTTCATTGCTGGTTTATGCAATCTGGATTTGTCTGCTCGTCTGCTCTAACTAGAAAATGATGTTCATGGTGTTGAGGTTTTTGAACTCTGGATAGGTACTTCAGGTAGTATTACAAGTTATGCATATTAACACCGGCGAGGCTGATAGGAATCAGGCTATCAGGTTAGGTTTTTAAGATAAAACCAAAATTCTGCTAGCAAGGCTTAACTTTACATAGTATTTCCATTGTTGTGCATTTTATATTGCCCATTAGAGGAGATGAAGAAATCAGATGAGTAAAACTGGAGTCATTTCAGGGGATACGACAATAATACAAGTAGCAGAAGAGAGCAAGTCATTTCTGAGTCAAGTCGAGATCCTGATCAATGTTTTCCATGTGGTATCTCTTTATTGGGTCAGTTACCTTTTTATCCATAGTCTTTAACCTTATTGGAGTTGTTAGCGTAGACATACAAGTCGATAATTTCGATTGGTAGTATTGAAGCAGCTAGTTACGTTTACCAAGCAGTTAGGCTACGAGCACAGCTTGGTTGACAATATCGTGCCTGTTTTTTTGTGGTCGATTTCTCCAAATTAAAATATTTGTTCTCATGATCGAAACAATCAACGTTTCATTTTTTGAGGTCTGGGTTTGGTAAATAGGAGAGGAACTACATTTACCTGATTGACGTACAATATTTTTTCATTACTTGACTGGATCTTGAGGCATTTGGTTGTGTATTTTTATAACAGCCCGTGATCTTCACCCTCAACGTACGTTGCACTAAAATGAACCACCAAAGGCTGCAATTATTAAGTGTAACAAGTGGGCATAAAATAAATGCAGCCTGTTGGAGTGATCGCGGCTCAGTCGGTGCTTAAGGCTTCGTTAATCCAAGCTTAGTGTTCCCAACGATTATCGTTGCCATCGTTGAAACAGGTGTTGGAGCTCCGTTTAGTGGTATTAACTCAGTGAATGATAAATCGCTATAGCAACCAGCAACAAAGCGGCCGTTGGCGCTATCGTTCGCGTATGGGCGATTGTTTCATTGCATAATTGCAACCAGCTACGTCCGACTAATTGGTTTTAATCTGTCACCAGCTGTCTGGCTTTATTTTTACGATGCGACAGTAACATGATATCATAGCATTGTTTATCATCTAATTTCAGTTGAACTTGTTTATTCGGATTGAACAATGAAAACTTCTTTCAATGGGTTACTTATAAGTCCTTCACTTCACTTCTCGGGCATGAGGTGTTACCGTTATATGTGCATTCCATCATTAATGTTCGCAATTCAAGTACTTTACTATCGAACAAGACGCAGGAGGCCTTCATACATTTATTTCTTGTGCTGACCTGCTAGTTAGTCATATTCACTGCGAACTTCTACTTTACACGAATATTTACTTCTAAAACTATGATTGTGCAGCTCAAGTACAATTCAGTACAGTGATTTTTTTGCCCCTAGAGGAAAGATATGTCTGATTGAAGGATCTAAGTTTGGTTAGATTAAGTCAAGTGGTCATTGAGTAACATCAATGGCATCTACTGTGAAATGCCGCTTTTACTTCAAGCTCTTTCAAGAAAATGTAATGTTATTTTTAAATGTTAAATATTAAATGTTACTTTTTGATCAGCTGAAGTGATTCTATATTGAGATCAGTTTCTCGCTAGTGCGAGCCACTCTTTTTGTTTTTTTTTCAAATCATTGTGCTCTATAAGTAGGTTGCATTGCAGAAATTTTTGAATTTTGCAGAAACCAGCCTTCAGGAAAATTGGCATTGTTATCACTGAGATTTTTTTTTTCAGATCATTGAGCTCTATAATTAGGTTGAACTATTTATTCATGGTGGAAAATTTGAGTTTTATCATTGTTTTGGACCATGTATAAAGCTAGCCTCTGCAAATAGCGTTCAGATGGTAAGTTATAAAATT